TCGCGAAATATCCAGAAATTTGGCTGGAAATATCCGGATATTGATATCCGGATATGGGTTTCGGGATATCCGAATATGGGATGAGGAATATCCGGATATTGATATTCGGATATGGCCCCGAAAAATATCCGGATATCTGGGTTTTCGAAGAACAGTAGCTGCACTGTTCATACAGGATGATGTTTGGGGTTTGTGGACCCGAGACTGGTTAAGTTGAGCTTCTGTATTGATTAGTTAAGTCAGAATCTAAGTGATTAAGGGCTTGTGACTTTGTGAGAAGCCTTAAGACACGAAATGTAAAGGAAAGACGTTGTCCTTGTGTCTTATACTTGTTGAGTATGATTTTGATATGATTGTTGGTCCAAAACAGATTGTGATTCTGCTGTATTTGGGCTTTGAGATTGATTGGACTCTTGGCTTGGGTTGTTAGCTTGCAAGGTAGGCTTTCGTGTCTTCGGTTTAGCCATTGTTGGTTCTACCATGTCCCATGGGGGTATGGTTATATGCATGAAGTTGTTTTCATGATATATTGATTTGTGAAATGTTGTTGAGCTGTTATATGCGAGTGCCTTTATGATATGCATGTAGTGTTCCACCTATACGGTAAGCCTGAGTATGTGGTACATACAAGAGGGTGAGGCTGTGGGTGAGGTGCAAGCGGTGTTCCTTGTACTTATTGTGGGAGTGTAGACGTACGTCCTGCTTTTTTCTGGCCAGTAGAATATTAAAACACACATGGCATGAATATCTGTTGCACTGCATAGTTTTGGAACTTATACTGTTAAATGCTTTTGAACTTATACTGTTAAATGCTTTTGAACTTATATTGCTCGTGTAAGTGAGCTTGGGGTGGAAGATCCTTGAGGACCCCTTGTCTTACTGAGATTTCTTTTTAGAGATCTCACACCACGTTTGGGACACATATTTCAGGTTCAGGTAATGCGGGGGTTGAGACCTCTGGCGGTAGGAGGCCGGAGCTTAGCTGATTATATATGTTGTATGCTGACATGATTGGATATTGGATGTTGTTTATGTTTGTTGTCTTTATATTGATATTTGAGTTAAGACTCTTTGTGGGCTTTGTTGCCTTATTTGGTGAGCATGGGGTTTGTCTATGCCACTTTGACTTGACTTTATGCTTAGTTGTTTCTTGTTGTAATTAATAATGTATCAGGATATTGTCCGGACTACGGGTTGTAGATCCGTGACTTAGATACTCATATCTATGTTATGAGGTATTTCAGTTAGTTGTCTTTTACAATTCACATACAGGCGATGTTTTATGAAATGAATTAAGTAATTCAACGTGGTTAATGATAATAACGTCATAATTGAAAAGAAAAAGACATTCCACATTTTTAAATTAAGCGTGGCTTAATACGATGATATGGTAACAAATCGAATATATACGGGGTGTCACAGAGAGGGACCATGATTTGGTGATATAATCCTAGACCATTTAAATAATTTCGGTGCATTTGGGATTATAGTTACGTATAAGGTACGAGTTCACCTGCGCAGACTGATTTGACCCCAAAACCGATAAACCGATCATATAATCGGTTCAGGTGAAATAATGGATCAACTAAGCAATAGAACTTGTGCGAACCAGTGAAACCCGGATGATTTTGGTGAAAACAGATGACCAGGCCAGTTCATACAAAAAAAGAAATAAATAAAATGCTTATAAATTTAAGAAGACCATTTCAGGCTTTTTTTTTAATTTAAGAAACTTATAAAATAAGATAAAATAATAATTAACAAGATAAATTAATGAATCATCAAGATTTCATTTGGATTTCACTTATAGTAGATGTTAAATGTTTGAAGACAGGTCAAGTGTTATGTGTTTCTTTGTTTGTTGGACAATGTTGTGTGATTTATTATTTTTTCTTATTAGAATATCTGGAACTGATAAAATTTTTTATAGGTATTTGAGTATGTTTACAATTTTTTTAACATAAATTATATAATTACATATTACCGATAAGGGTGTTAATGAGTCGGGCCGAACAGAGCTTTTTTTTTTTGAAAAGCAAACAGGAAACATAAAAACAAAAAAAGAAACTAGGAACACCTCCTAGACCAAACTACTCCTACATAGTCCCTTTCAAGTTTGTCACGACAACCAGAAGGAGGCGAGTCAAACTCTTGTAAAGACCAATCAAAGGAGTAGGCAAAAGAGGCCATCCAATCGGCAACCCCATTCCCTTCCCTATGAATATGGGAAATTCTAACCCTCCAATTCCAATCCAGCACATTCCTTATGCGCAAGACCAAGTTAGAGGCTGGATGATGAGAGCTGCACCCTTCTCTTATGAAAAACTGGGCTACTAAGGAATCACCTTCAAGCCAGACAAAACGAAAACCTTTCCTCCATGCAATCTCAAGCCCAAGGAGACAACCCCAAAGTTCTGCTAACAAAACATTACCACAGCCAAGATTTTTACAAAAGCCAACAAGCCACCTTCCACTAGCATTCCTAAATACACCCCCACAAGCAGAAGCTTCTCCATTATTCATACTTGACCCATCCACATTGAGCTTAACCCAAGGGTCCGAAGGAAAAACCCAAGAAACTAATTTCTCTTTTTTCGAGTTAGTCTCAAGACCAGCAACCCGAAGCGTGTTTTCTGACCAAGAAAAATCTTCACCATAGACCATAGCAGCTCTAAAAGTGCCATAAGCAGGAACAGAAGATCCCTGAAAAATTTTCTTATTCCTAGCTTGCCAAATGAAACAGGAAATGATACCAAACAGAAGAGGCCATGATGGCAAATTGGACCAATTACGATCCTCAGAGATATTGGACAACACCCATTGCTGAAGATTAAGAGAGAAAAAATCCTCCCAAGCCTCTCGCTTAACTGCAATCTCCCACACTTTTTTTGCTGCAATACAATCTCTAACCGCATGTAAGGAAGTTTCCGTAAAACAATTGCACAGATGACATATATCTGAACCCGCCATGTGCCGTCTGCAACGCCTTTCATTTGTCAAAATTTTATCTCCTAACAACAGCCAAAGGAACGTACGAATCCGTTCAGGTCCATGCCACTGCCAAACGCGATTCCAAGGTAAATTGGTAGATTCCTCGTCGCCCCTGGATATGGCCATATAAGCGGACTTCAGCGAAAAACTCCCATCAGATGTCCTTGTCCACAAAATTCGGTCATGACCATTAACATCCGAAGGAGGAAGGATGTTATTAATACGAGCATTGACGTGATCGGGAAGAATATGCTGGAAAGCCCCCCACATCCAACTTCCGGAGGATGAGACAAGATCAGAGACCATTAGCTGATGATTTATCTGAGAGGGATCAGAAATAGCAGCATAAGATGAGAGTGCACCACAACCCGGAACCCACGGGTCATCCCAAAAATGAGTAGAATTTCCATTACCTAGCAAAATTCTGGAATGCTGTAATATCACAGGCCAAGACGAAACAATTGCTTTCCAAAGAGAGGAGCTATTCCGAGTAGCAGAAATATTAGGAACCAAATCAGACTGAACTTTATACTTGCTCTTTAAAACTCTAGCCCAAAGCGCGTCTGGATTAGAAAGGATCCCATAACCAATTTTCATAATAAAAGCCCTGTTAACTTCCTTCATTTTCCTCAGACCCAGCCCTCCATGATCTTTATCCATGCACAGCTGATCCCACGCAACCAGATGAGGACGAGTAGATGCTCTATTAGAACCCCACAAAAACCTCCTAATATGTTTCTCAATATCATTGCAGATTCCGAGAGGAACAACAGAAACTTGCATTGTGTAGGCTGGAATAGCTGAGAGAACAGCTTTCGAAAGTGTAAATCTTCCTGCTAGAGAAAGACTGGTGTGGTTCCAGGCATTAATCCTAGATTGAACTCGATCGAGGATATGACTGAAAGCCGCCCTCCCAACTCTGTGATGATGAAGAGGAATACCCAAATACTTTCCAAGATCCACCGTCCTTGAGAAGCCCAACTCACCACTAAGTTCCTCTGCCAAAATATGATTCACATTGTGGGAGAAGAGAATTTTTGTTTTTTCATGGTTAACCTTTTGCCCAGAAGAAAGACAAAAATCATCTAGCACCTTGGAAATGGTTTGGGCCTGATCAAAGGATGCATCCGCACAAAGAATAAGATCATCCGCAAAAAAGAGGTTTGATCTTGAAAGGATAAACATATGTTTAAATGTGTTAGACTGACCTAGCCTATAATCTGTTAAGAATATAATTATCGGTCTATGGTCTGACTGATTTACAAAAAATAAAAGTCTGACGTAGCCTGTTAAAAAAATAAGATAACAAAAATTTATCCAAACAGAATATACGATCATCAACCCGAGTAATTCCACTAAGATTCATAAATTTAATGTATATCCAAAGAATACAATATAGAACAAATTCATTTCAAAAGTCTGCTTAATCAATAAACTAAAGTTGTACAAAATTTTGCATATGCAAAAGAATAAAAGACTACAAATTCTATGTAAATAATTTAATATATTGTGATGTTTCCTCCTTCTACATAAGGGAAAAAAACAAGTGATATTATTTTTGACATTCAATTATAATATCTTAAAATATAAAATAATTTAAATTAAGTAAATTAATACCTTATGTTTAAATAATGAAGTGAAGTGAGGGAGAGAAAGTAAAATAATGATGGATATGGTGTAAACGAGCCAAACTGGCCTGGCCTTTTTTTCAAAATTAAAATAGGCTTAGACTTGTATAAAAAACTATTTAGGTTTGAACTAACTTTAAATGAATTAAGGATTAAAAAGGAAAAGGAAAACAACATACGGACAAACTTTTTTTTTCATTTTAATTAACAATAAAATTTTCAGATAATTAAAAACCTAAAGGATTTCGGAGAAATAGGTGTATATTAGTGGGTAAGTAATTTAATCTCAAACACCATATATCCACCATAAATTAAATGAATTAAGGATTAAAAAGGAAAAGGAAAACAACTTACACACTACCTTTTTTTTTTCATTTTTTTTAACAATAAATTTTTCAGATAAAAAAAAAGCTAAGGAATTTCGGAGAAATAGAAATACGCTGATGAGTTCTACCGAAAAAGAAAAAAGAAATACGCTGATGAGGATCAAACCTAATTTTACATTGGTGACCTAGCCCTTATTTTAGCACCGATATTATTTATTTTATTATACATAGATACTTGCTTTGCTTCTTCAAGATGATTATGCCATTTAGAAAATATCCTTAATTGCTGATGATTGGTGCACTTTAGTCATGGCTTCTAAGGAAATTTTCTTTGGCATGGTGATCCCTTTTCCTTCGGTCATATCAATTTCTTCCTCTCCTATTCGTTTCCACTCAAAGCACTGAATCAATACGCCCAAAGTTAAGCCTACTGTGCGTTGAGCCAAGTTTTCTCCAGGACAAGCCCTTCTACCTAACCCAAATGAAAGCAACTTGTTTGCTTCGCCTTCTTTCTCAAACCTCTCGGGCTTAAAGCGTGTAGGGTCAAACCACAACTTGGGATCTCTATGAATGGCCCAAGCATTAACCAACACAATAGTGTTTTGTGGGATATTATATTCTCCTACAGTGCAATCTTCTGAAGACAAATGGGGTACCAACAATGGAGCGGCAGGATGCAACCGAAGTGTCTCATAGACAATGCTTTGAAGGTAAGGGAGTTTTGAAATGTCAGACTCATCTACCAGGCGATCTTGTCCTATTTGTGCATCTATTTCATTTCTTGCCTTTTTCAATATTTCTGGATGATTCAATAAATTAGACATTGCCCATTCTAAAGTCACAGATGATGTGTCTGTTCCTGCAAGCACCATTACCTGGAAAGTCCAACAAAGGCAATATCAATACAGCGAATAAGGAAAATTATACAGTTACCTCATGACATCAATTTCGATGGTAATAATATCAGATGTACTAGTATAAAATAATAATATAATAACATATTAATTTAACAAGTCCCAATCACCGGTAGCAGACCATGCCTGTTTTCATTTTTCTTTTTCGAAGATAAGGTTTTGCACTACTCCCAGAGCAATCCTCTATCACTAGTCGACAATCTGGGTCCGCGAGCGCATAACAACAACGGTTCATGCCATCCACCTAGTTGGCATTTTTATCTTCTTTCGTATAATATTATTTTGTTTTATTCTTTCTTTCATAAACTTATCCTAATCTGCAACACGAGGTTGCGAGCTCACTGTAAAGATGGGGCAAGATGGACCACAACAATGATGTTAATATTGATAAAAATAGAAAAAAGTATATAACAACAGTTACCAGAATAAGTCCTTTGATGATTTGATCCGAATAGTATTCAGGCTGTGTTTGTTGTTGGGTTAAGAGATGGTCTATCATGGTATTGGCATGCTGTTTCCCATTACGATGCTCATCAACGAGTCCTTGTAAGAACGCATCTGTTCTCTTACTAATCCTCTTTAGCCTCTTCTCCAAATTATCAAAATCAAACCACCTTAGTAATGCTAAGAAGTCACTTGGGTTGTTTGCCCCTCCTAAAGAGGTCAACTCTTTGATGATTTCTCTGAATTGCCTTGCTTCCTCGACATCAGTGACGTCACAGTCCTCACCATAGTATCTTTTCCCCGAGACCATTCTCATTATAGTGTTAAACGTCATTTCTGAAAACTTGGACTTAAGCTCCACTTTGGCAAAATCCTTGCACGAGTCCTGAGCAAGCTTTTGTATTAGCCTCATGATCTCGTCCTTTCGAACTTCCAAGAAAGAGTTGAGACGGTGTGAAGAGAGAACCTCTAGTGCAATGATGCGGCGGAGGTTGCGCCAATGGTCGCCGTAGGGGGATGCTACTACGGTGGTGTTGTTGTACGCGATGTACTTTCCTGTGAGAAAGTGAGGACGGTTTGCTAGGATGATATCGTTTTTGGTAAAGCATTCTTGCACTGCTGATGGTGATGAAACAACAACTACAAGACGGGATCCGAACCAAAGAGAAAAAGTTTGGCCATATTTTTGTGATAGAGCATGGAAGGTGCGGTGGAGTGGCTGTTTGAGTTGATGAAGGTTTCCAATAATAGGAAAAGAAGGTGGACCTGGAGGAAGGCTTTTGAATCTTCTTGTTTGAAACAAAAGCTTCAAAGTGACAAGAAAAACAAGAAAGAGGATGGAGAAATAGAAGAAGTAGTTCATGACTGTGTAGTAAAAGCTCACTGGATTGTGTTTCGGGCCAAGGTTGATTCTGATCCCCACTTGTACTGGACTTTATAAAGTCATGTGACATAGACTGCCGCATATTAGTGGCTTCTGTTGCGTTTGAGCTTACGTAATCGATCCTTCATTGAATTGGTCACGGGTATATTGAAACTATATATATTTTTTTAGAATTTATTATTTTTATGTTACGTAAGATATAATCTATCTTCTACACATACAAATTTAATATGAGTCTCACTTTATTTATTTATTTTCTCCTCCCGTGGGAGTAGACTCTACCTCCACAAATGAGTCTGTAGTTGATAATAGTTATTTTCTATTATATCAAAAAACTATTACTCATATTTTTATGTTTTTAAATATTTCTTTGAATTAATTATATATTAATTTAATAAAGTTATTTTGAAATTTATTCAATAATAAAAATATTTTAAAAAAATTGCTTCCTTCTCGAGAGGCAGTTAGCTCTGCACTCATCCACGATCCCACGTGGATAAGACTTCGGGATTGGTCGCTCGTTCGGTGGACTATTAAACAGGTGAATAAATATTTTAATGCTACTGTTGTATTAAAGATTCAGTACATTCCACCAATAAAAATATTACACGTCAGTTAAATATTTTTTTCTTTGTCAAATTTTTTTTCTCTCCTACAATGTATAATACTCTTATTGATGGGATGCACTGAATCTTGGTACAATAGTAACACCAAATATTTGTTTTAAATAGGTACTCTAGATTTGTTAACACGGAGCAATTTCTGTTCTGAACGCAATTCCCTTGCAAATTGCAATATTGCTTTTTTGTTTTGCTGTTTTCTTACCCTCTATGTTGAGTACAAAATATAAATTCGACTAAAGTTTTTTTTTGTCCCTGCTAAATATATGATCTTTATTTTTGTCCCTTACAAAAAAATATATCTATATTAGTCTTTTTTTAAGGATTAAATTGGGTCTTCATTAAATTTTTAAGGGATCACAATTTCAAATAACTAGAATTTTAAATGGTCCAAAAGTTGATTTTTTTTAAGGGACGAAACCGTATATTTTTTTTGGGACCGAAAAGGAATTTTACTCTACAACTTTTTAGTGACTATTTGTATGCTCTTTTCTTTAAGTTAGAAATTGCTTGTAAGTATAAGTTTGGCTAAATAGATTTTGAGAAAAAAATTTATAATCAAAAAATATTTTTTTTATAATGAAGAAAAGAATTAAAAGCTTTTAGGAGAAAAAAGTTTTAAGCTCTTACCTGATTGATTTTCTTGAATTATATGTTTTTTTAAAAATAAAGAGCTATAGGTATAGAGAAAGATAATTTTCTTAAAATATGTCTTTTTCAGTAACATTTAAGCTAAAGATTTTATATAATTACCAAACAGTTTTTAACTCTTTTTTTTTAATTTTAGCTTAAAAATAACTTCTAATTTAACTTGAGAGAGGATCCAAACATACTCTTAGGGCATGTTTGGTGCATAGTATTGAATAAGGCCTGATAGCATAAGACCTGATTAAATTTTAATGTTATACAGCATTTGCTATGGTATTGTATAAGATAATATCTTCAAATATTTTGAAAATTAATATATTAAAAAAATTATTTTATTATTTAATATTGAAATGATATATTAGTTCTTGAAAATTGTAAATGTAAGCAATATTAATACATCAACCCCTTATCAGGCCTAATCTCTCCTCCTTAGGCCGGATTAAGGGTCTGTTTGGTGTGACGTATAAGGCCTGATAGTATAAGCTTATACTATACGTTATGACATTTTCAGTTGTTTGGCGTGACCATCGTATAGTATAAGCTTATACAGCAGGATCCCTTAATACATCAAAACGACGTATAACTTAATCCGGCATAAGGGGAAGGGATAAGGCCTGATAAGAGGTGGGTGTATTAACATCGTTTCTAAAAAATTAATATATTATTTTAATATTAATATATTAAAATAAAAAATAATTTTTCAATATATTAATTTTTAAAATATTGAATATTTTTATTTTTATAAAAATAATTTATATATTGAACACACTGATCAATAAATTTTTATAAAAATTAATATCATATGACATTTTTTGAAGAATTATATAAATTCTTTATTAAAGGATATTTTTATTAAAAATATTTATTTTCATCCTATAAATAGTATACAGTACATTACCAAATACTAGATGATATTATCTTATACAATATATTATTTTATACAATACCGTGTCAAACGTTGGATAGTATTAAAATTCAATCAGGTCTTATACAATCAAGCGTTATACTATCAGGTCTTCTACTAACAGGCCTTATTCTATACTATGCACCAAACATGCCTAAGTTATACATCGTTTTGATGTATTAAGAGGTCCTGCTGTATAAGCTTATACTATACGATGGTCACACCAAACAACTGAAAATGTCATAACATATAGTATAAACTTATACTATCAAATCTTATACGTCACACCAAATAAATCCTTAATGCTATAATACTGCTGAGTGCAGTAGTAGTGTCACGCATTTTATAACGTACAGAAAAATAATTCATGTTATGTCATCATTTAAAATTTAAAATAAATTTTCTTATTTTTGTTTTTATTTTAATTTAAATTTGGGATTTATGAATATTATGTCACATGATGAAAGTTGCATCATACTACACTCACAGTGCAAGTAGGTCCCCTCAGTTTTTATAAAAAAATAAAAAACATAAAAATGTTGTACACATTTCAATTTCTCTACGGGAAGCTACAGTCAAATTCTTGTAACATAATCAAACGATTTCCCTTTAAATTTTTCCATTCGTCTAACTCAGCACTATCCACTCTTTTTTCTTTCAACTTCTTCCTCTGCTATATCTCCCCCACTGTCTCTTTTTCTTCCTTTTCCTGTTTCATATTTCTCCCACTCTCTTCCATTTTGTTTAGAAGGTTGCAGGAATTTCATATGTGATTATAAACTCAAAAATCCCTAATAGACGAGAGATCTAGCTAGGGACGCCATCGGAAATTTCCTAAAGATTTCTTACAGGCTTCACAAATATTCTTCATCTTCTACAATAAATGAAATGATAAACAAAACTGTTGGACATAAATAACCAATTGACGTAGAGATATAGTGCGAGAAATGTGGATTGCAGAGAAATATTAGGAAGAGGAAGGGGAAAGGGGAAGAGAAAGAAGAGGGAATGAGTGGGAGAGAGATGACACAGGAAGAAGATTATGGATAGGGGAGGGAGATCGCAGAGAGTTAGACCAAACATAAGATGGAAAAATGAAAATAACAAAAATATTTAAATGACAAATGAGAAGTTGATATGGATTATTTTTCTGTATGTTATAAAATGAGTGGCAACAAGACGGCCTACTGAACTTTCGATACTAGTGTAACACTAAATATTTATTTCCATGGTGGGCCTTTTAATATTTGATAAGTGTCAAATACACTATATTTTTAATGTTAAAAATAATTCAAATAATAATTAATAGGGTTCAAGTTTTCTCATGTTGTAGGATAGTAGAAGAGAAAAAAAGTAGAGAGAAGTTAAATGTAGGTCTCATCTTTTATATTAAAAAAGAAAAGAAAAATTAATTGACATGGAAAATGAATTTGTGTAGGAAAAGATGTTACTCTTATGTAGTATGAGAGTATTATTTCCCTAATTAATATGATTAAATATATGGTGTTAATTGATATAATCTTAAAGAATACTAAAATGCCAACAAATAGATAAGATTCTAATATTTTCTCATTGTTTCATGTTGTTTTATACTAGAAGAACAAACTACTACTAACCTGATAAGGAGAATTGGTCGAAGATAAATCAAAAATAAATAAAAAATAAAATAATTGGTCAAGCTCGCCTTAATGCTCGCTTCAGGGAGCAAAGCAATTGAGCTCGCTCCACTGCTCCCCGTAGCGAGCAAGTGAGCGAGTAAAGGAAAATAGCTCGCTAAGCAGCTCGCTTCAGCGAGCCCCTCAACGAGCGGATCCAAAACTCAAAGCCCAGTTTTCAGCCTATAAATACAACGCGACGAAGCCTTCAGAAGGGACACATTCAAAAGACGAAAGAAGGCGAACGCGTAGACGAAGGCAGAAGGCAGAAGCGGAGGAGAAATTCTGGAGCGGGATTCCAGAAGAGGAGAAGAAGATCAAAGCTTCACCATTGATCGTCTTTAATCAAGTTTTATCATGAACTATGTTTATCTTTCAGCATATTTTTATTCTGGATTTATGAATATGTTAGGCTAGTTTATTTATGTAGTTTAGATTATCTATCCGATGTGAATCCTATTTTTAGTTTGATTTAATTTCTTTAATAAATTATTTCAGTATTTGTGTTTTACCTTGCATGAATTTTTATATCCTTGTATGAACTGATCACTCCTATAAGAATTTGAAGGTTAGGTCTCGCAATCGACATATTGCATGAATTTCCGTATGATTTCCATTTTTTATCTATTTCTGTACATGCATTGGTCCAATTAATAATGGATGTTCTAACCTCCAAGGGTAGCTCAGTTGGCACCTGAGCTCCCAAGGGATTACTTGGTGCAGAGATCAAACCCTGCCTCAAACAGTTTCTTGAAAAATCTTTTGGGGCTAGAGGATAAGCCAAAAAATCTTCGGTTGGAGGAATTAGTCTCGTTCTTTCTTCGGTTGCGAAGTTTAGTGCACCCACTGTTACAATGAGGGGCTAGCCCAAACGGACCGTACCCCGAGGGCATGGTGCCTGGAGAAGATTGAATGAGGATACCTTCTGGCAATGTACCAAAAAAAAAAAAAATGGATGTTCTTTTCGGCATGACGAGCAAGCTCTATCTTTGGAATTTTCTCATGTGTACAATATTTTTTTTAAAATTGAAATTTTTTAATACTATTTGAATCCAAGTCCTTTTTCATAATTTCTTTGGAAATCCAAATTTTTTTTTTTTTTTAAAAGTGATGTATGGTTAGCACCCAAGGTTTAACTTCCATGACAAAGATTGTCTCCAATGAAATTCTGTGCGGG